GGGGGGGGGGCTTTGAAGTTTATAAAAACGAACACATTGTCATAACTGGGTTGTAGGAGTTGTAAGGTAAAGCAAAAATGGGGTAAAATGGACACTTCAATTTCTTACTCAATTTTTTGTATTTCAACGATGTTATTCAATTTCTGAAACACTAGTCATGACTGCGATTTTCTAATTGAAAAAACAACTTCATTTTTGACTTTGTCGTGGGGGTGGTAAACCAAATTTTTCTTTGCTCATTCATCCTCCCCTTCTCCCACTGTTTTATGGTGATTTCCTTTTAAGCAGAAAAGTAGCCATTTTACAAATTTAGAAAATGGACAAAAGGTCAGTTGTGTAGGACGTGCAATTGTTCATTGAAAAAAAAAAATTATAATTTCAGAGCTAGTTCAATAGTAAAACAGGAAATCCGAAGCTAATCTATACTCCAAACTTCAATGCAAAATTTAATAGAGTTGAAGTTTATTTGTTAATATCTCTTCCAACTGTAATTTCTCTCTATAAAAAGATACCGACACGATTCTGTTGGAAATTTTCTTGATTAAAAGTTGAATAGGACCAACTTTTTCGGTTGGCCATTTTATCCCACTCTTGAATAATTTTTCGGTTGTGGACTTTACCAAGAAACATTTTTTAAAAATTTGATTATTGAAAAGGTTTTGAGCATTTATTTTAGTCCGCTCTATACTGATTTATCAGGTGTCCATATTGCCTAATGTAACAATTTTCCAAAATTTGAATTTTGAAAAAAAAAATTTTTTTCGCAAATTTTTTGAGTGTCCATTTTACCCCAGATGTCCATATTGCCCCAGCCTTCTTTAGTTCCATTTTGATGTTGATTAAAATACCTTCAAAATGACGCCACTATCTATTGAATTTACTCTGTCAATCTCAAGTCATCAAATATTAAAGAATCGGTTTATCATTCTCTCTTCAATGACTTTTTCATTTTTTATTGATGTTCATATCAGACTAATTAATATAAAACAGATGATTTTTGTTTTTTCCTTCAATATATTTACAATAAACCCAGTACATAATATTAATAATGCCCACGACGCGTGACAAATTATTTAATTTTCGCCTGAATGTCTTCTCTCACGTGTGTCCCATCGCAGAAAGGTCTGTTGTTGGTCTGCTTGCAATTGCATAACCAGTACTCCTTGGTCTCCTTGACCTGGAAGTATATGGGTCTGAGGGTGATCTTCAGGAAGGTATTTTTGTGAGTGCCATCGCAGAGGGGCTGGCCCTTGCTGTGGCCGCAGGTGCACCAGGCGTACTTCTTGCCCGCCTCGATCCTAATTTTGAACGGCTTTTTATCGTATATTTTTCCCTTGTCCGGTTGGACCTGAGCGCTGAACATCCCCTCGAGCTCATTCTTGGGGATCTCCGGCTCGGATTTCTTCTCTTTTGTAGAGTATCTCGATATCTTGAATTAATTATTGAGGTTTTTGTTGCGAATAAGTAATAAAAAACTAAATTAAATATTTTTAAACTCAAGAAATTGAATGAAATCAATTTTTCCAGTCAATATTCATTGAAATAATGGGAAATACTATTTCATTTTTTATTCCGAGAGGACTAAATATCGAATATCTATTTTATTTTAGTTTGGGAAACATTGGAATATATATTTTTAGTAGTATTTCATCGTGAGAAATTCTTCAACTCGGCTTTTCAATCAATTCCGTTGGATATCAATTAAGTTCGTTATTTATTAAGGGAGATCTATTCTATTGAATGGAAAATTATTGTTTTCATTAGTACTCTCAAGAATGAAACAAAGTTAATAAACAAAATATAATAAAAAATATCTAAAAAAAATTTTTTTGCTTGAATTGCGTCAATCATTTTTCGACTGTTTCATTTTGCCCCACTTCCCCTACATTAATTCATTGAATAAATAAAATTCTATTCCGATATTCTTTAAATATTTCCGATTTTTAATCAGTTAAACACACCAAATAAAATGCGTGAATAATTTCATTCCAGACTTATGAATTATTTAAAATCGACTTTCCATTCAATTTCCATGAAATAGTGCAGATGAAAAATAAAACAGCATTTGAAGTTTTGAATACAGAAAATAGAATTCAGAACAATTCCATTTGTTATTGTTTTGACATCGAATTAATGAGAAATTGCAGATGAAATATTATTTCAAATAGTTAACGTATATTTCCTGGAATATCTGAATGTTATTTTCCGTTTCATCTTGATTAAACATAAATAATCAACTTTAAATGACTATTTAAAATCATATTTCCATCTGATTTTCGTGAAACAGTGGTCAATCTAGCTCATCAAGTCCAGATAGAATAAAAACAAATAAAAATAACATAAACTAATAATAAAATGAAATAGATAAATTACGGATGAAGAGTTCACGAGGTTATGTGCCACTGCTACAATTCATCTAAGAAATAAAAAATACTTGAAGAAAAGAATTCACTTACCGCTTGAGAACAGTGGATTTTCCCTCGAATGGGGCGAGATAATTGAATTAATGACGCGACAATCATCATTTGAAGAATCAAATAAAAATTGAGGGTCACCAAAATCAAGAGCGCTCTTTTTGTTGATAATTCTGATGATCTTTGGAGGTTAGGAGGCCACTCGCCACTGTCGCGTGGGCGGAACTGGTGGTGGGGGTTCAATTGTTTGAAATCGATAGCTAACAGCAGATGGGAATTATAAACACAAAACAGATGCCGTACTCCAAATTTTTTACTATTTTTTCGGCGATCAAATACGAGTTATCTTCATGCACAACTGCACAATTTCAGGCGGCGGTCGGTTCAAAGGGTTTAATTAGCTATTTTCTTATCATTTGTTGATATTCATGATCGGGAGATTACGAACGGTAAAAGGCAATTTATATTCGGAGGAAAAATTCGCGACGGAAATTCATTACTTTCATTCCATCAATTTTGAGTGGGATTTTTTAAATTATAAACATTTATTCGGAGAATTCACTGAGATGAAGAATTTCATAATTTTGTTATGAGAAAATTTTCAAATTGCTGCATTCATTCACTTTCCAAATTTTTTAATCAGTAGAATGAATTTATTTTATTCCCCATAAATTCGCAATCGATGAAGAATTGATTTAATGAAATGAAAAAATGATAATTAAATTATCCTAGGCTACAATTACAATCCGGAAACGAGAGATTCTTTCTGATAAATGAGATAGTGCCCCAGGTCAGACATTTTTCGTTGATTGTTCCTTGCGAGTCACCCTCAATTACCCCGCTGAGTCCTTTCAAATCCGTGCTAATCTCGGGGAAGAGCTTATACGAAAATAGGGGACGAGTGATTGCAGATTTTTGGTAAAGGGACTGGTCCTTCCTGGATAGCACGGGTGAAAAAATTTAATAGAAAATCCTATCGAATTCGTCAGACAATTCCACTGGATTTCTATTAAACTTTCTATTAGTTTTTGGCCGATTCCATTGAAATGTTCAATAGAAAATACTCTATAAAAAACATCGAAAGAATTCGGTTTTTCTATTCAACTGATTCTATTGAGGTATTTTCTGTAGAATTTACTCGACTCAAATTTTTACTTTTTTTGTTTGATCATCTTGGTGAGAAAAAAAGAAAAATAGAATTAAAAAACTTGGAAAATTTGGGCGGAGGAAAGTCTACAGGAACTATCTGAAGAGAATCAGTTATATTGAAAAATCGAATTCTATTGACTTTTTCCATTGCATATTTTCTATTGAAAATTTCAATAGAAATCCAATGGAATTTTTTAACGAATTCGCAAAGTTTTGCTATTAAACAAACCGAACGCTCCGCGTGCCTAAAAGTCCAATTTCCGCCACATTGTGATGAAAAATATTGTTCGTAACTCTTGAAAAAATGTTTTTTAGCTCGTGGGATTATATCACTTGCCTTCGGCTCGTGATATAAACCTCCCACTCGCCAAAAATAGTATATTTCAGCACGTGTGGGGCAATTTCATCTTTAACGTGTGTGGGGTTTACAGCATGAGCCGAAGGCGAGTGATGTAACCACACACGTTAAGGACGAAATTTCCCAACAAGTACTGAACAAAATTTTATGTCACGAAGCCTGAAACCGGCTGAATTAGACACGAGACGCGAAGCGTCGAGTGTGTAATCCAGCCGGTTTCAGGCATGAGTGGCATAAAAACACTTTTTTACACTCGTTACGAAATATACTATTTTGTGATACCTGCCTCAAAAGTGCAAAACTGGCCAATAGTCAAAATCGACTTAAACCGTTTTACCACTTCGCTACTGAATTATTTTCTTAAACCATGAAATAAACAACTTTCTAAAAAATTAAAAAGCACAGTAAGAAACCTACAGAGCGATCTTCGAAATATTAGATCCATTCAGACCAAGAAAGAATTCAATAGCTGAATGAGAAAGGTGTTGGAAAATTGTACTCGTTATCAGGACTATTATCTGCACCAGGATGAGTTATCCGATGTCATAAATAGCGAAACAACGAGGATATTGAACAGAACGACGCACGCAACAAGTAAAGAGGGCAGGAGAGTTAACATGCGTGTTGTTGGGCAGCTCGGGTGAGACCCAAGGGCTCCCCGGAGACCCTCACCCTCACGTGGACGAAAAATACTTGAGTCCGCTCTATTACGTTTGTTTAATTAATTACCTCAGAGGAAAACAATTTTACATTCACATTGTACGGTTTTACGACTGCCGCCGATTATCCGGCTGATTAAACATTTTTTTGTTTGATTTTATCTTTTGTTTATTCATGGATTTTCGTGGAATATCCAGAGGTGGGAAATGCTTCGCGAAATTCAAGTGTGCACTGAGAAAAAACATTACTTCTGACGAGTAAATTTACTTGCCGCAAGTAAATGTATATGAATATTTGCATTTGAAATGTGTGGATTTTCTTACAGTTAGTAAATTTACTTTACTTTAAATAGGGGTTTTTTAATTATTATTTTGGACTAGGGGGCTTGGCCCCCTGCTCGTTTCGCTCGCCAACCCCAGGGGGGTTCGCTCCCAATCTTCTTGGGTATGTTCAACTATTTGTACTATCACTTTAAAAAAATTATGTCCAACGATTTTTGAAGCCTCTATTCCGCTTATCAAGTAATGTAATATTATGTCTATGTATATTTTTTTCATCACGCTGTGACGAAAAGTGAACTATTCAAACTATTGAAACTATGAATTAACATTATTAATTATTTTGGATAGTAATTGAAACAGTTCTTCAACCAATTCTGAATTATGAAAAAAAACTTGAAAAAATCGTTTTAAATTGGACCCAATAGTTCCTCAATTTGAAGGAAAATATATTCTCAATTTGCGGATTTACATGAATTTTAAATGATTGCTTCCAAACGATGGAGGACGAACCGAAGATAATATCTCCCACGAGTTTCGTCAAAAGGTCATGCCACGCAATTTCAAATGTATATTTCATGAGAGCAATGAAAAAACTTCACACATCACACCCCAAATTTTTACTCCAAACATAAATTTATTTTTTAAACATTGAATTTGATTTATATTTTTATTTCACTCATTCAAATTTTAACGTATTTCGTTGTCAGTTAGCACATGAGTTATTAGACTGGGGGGGAACAGTTAATTTATGTTTGAACATGGGGTAATGATTTATCTCGTGGTCGACAGTGAGGAAAATTTCCTGATTGTCATCTACGCTTGTAGGGTGCATTGAAATGCAAATTAGGGAATAGAACCTTCGATTTTAGGTGATTGCTCAGGAAATTGGTGAATGGAGCCGGATTCATGAGCGAGATATCAAGTATTTCGAATGGAAATTCCAGGAGGAAACTGGGGCAAAATGAAACAATTGGGGAAGGTTTTTTTTTAGTTCAGAGTTGAGTGATTTTGAGGGTCTAATGACCCTCGAATACATGTCAGGGTAAGGGTTGACCCTCAAAACCATTGGACTCTCACCTAATGCTCTCTATGAAGAAGGGTTATACATGTCTAAAAATGAATAATTAGTGCAAAAAAAATTACTTGTTTATTGTTCGTTTGCTCCGCAGACGCTTAAAATATTTTTTTTTTTTCATAAAAAATTGCACCATTCATGTAAAACAGCCCGAAAAATGTTCCTGAAAAAATCGGGAATATATTTTAAATATTTTAAGGGTAATTTTTCTGCCTATTTTACATGAGTGGCGCAAATTTTTATTTTAAACAAGATGAAACTGTCTGTGCAGGAGTCGAATTTCAAAAAATTAATTCGTAATTGTTATTGCACCTATTTTTTCAAAAATTTTGAAAAAAAAGAAACCGCTGTAACTCAAAAGTTCGAGGCCCTGGACTATTTTGAACATTTTAAGCGTGTGCGGGGCAAACGAACAATGAACAATTACTTTTTTTGCACTCTTATTCGTTTTTAGATATCTATAATCGATCGTCAATGTATGAGAAATTTCACTCCAATCGCCCACGACTTTTAAAACTCATAGTAGTCTCCCCTTAAATTTTATAGATTTATAATCTTTTTTAAGGATATTTTCGCGTAGTGATGGGGTAAAATAGTAGTAGCAAAAAAGGTCATAACAGTCGATTTCTGGCACCCTTTCAGTTAAATAGCAATTTTTTTTATAATCATCGAGAAGCCAAGTATTTTGAGTGAAAATCTACACTGTTAGAAATTTTTTGAAAATTTTTTTGAAACAATAGTTGCACTTGAATTCAGTAACAAAGTGGTAAAACGGTTTAAGTCGACCCAGCATAGTTTTTGAGGAATATTTCAGAATCTAAGGGAGATAGCGAAATTTTCGTAATTACATTTGTTGTAGCTGTCAATTGACTCTACAAAAAAGTTTGTAACAAAAATTTTGCTACCTCCATTGGATACCGAGATATTCTCTGAAAACTGGCCAATAGTCAAAATTGACTTGAACCGTTTTACCACTTCGCTACTGAATTCTCAACGTTGTGAATTCGAATTTTTTATTTTTATTTTATGTCCACGAGACCTTACGGTCTATACAGCTTCACATAGATGATAAGAAGAAAAAAAAAGTTTTTTTGCATTTCTACAAATTCTATTGGTAGTAAACTTCCAAATGGATCTTTAGCAATTCCCTGTCCTTGTGACAGGCATACAACCGTAACCACATGCTACACTGAGAAAAAATTTATTCCTTCCAAGAAAATGTTATTGGTGATATCTTTTTCATACTCTTAGTAGAAGAAAATATCTCTTTTGAAACGTATTTCTCCAGGCCAATCATTTCCAGGTGCTCCGAAATCAGTTCCAAGCGTGAGAATTATGGTGATCAATAAGAATATTCTTCTGCATATGACCGCGAAGAAACTCCAATAATAATTATTAACATTTGGAATTATTCCAATTTTCTTTACTCAGAAAATTTAAGTAACGGTATCGTAATTTTTCAAGGGAGATTCAGATCAAAATTACGGAATGTTCTGGAAATATTCCGTGACGGTTCCGTAAAATTTCCTACAACCACATTTCGCTCCGGAATTACAGAAAAAATATGTAATTTTTATTGAATAGTTCCTTCCGTGAACCTTTTAATGAAATAGATTTATACAAAAGGTTAAATATCTCCGAAACTGCTCCACCGATTGCGCCTATCCAAAATACGAATCTTCAATATTGTAAGAGCTACACGGAGAGAAATATACAATAAAAATTACGTATCTCTTCCGTAATTCCGGAGCGAAATACGGTTGTAGGAAATTTTACGGAACCGTCATGGAATTTTTCCAGGGCGTTCCGTAATTTTTATCTGAATCGCCTGTGAAAAATTACGATACCGTCACTTAAATTTCCCGAATTGTAGACCCGAGTTTGTAGCAGCGATGTCAGACAAGATATGAATGTTTTTTTGGGCTCAAATGAAAGAGCGGGTCGAGAAATGACGTGC